AAAATACCCTCTACAAATATAATGGAAAGGATGTAAAAAATGTTTTTGAGGGCAATTGTGTCTTTAATAATGTTAATGCATGCATTAGAACCCATTGCATTACTAATGCATAGAAATAGATGGTATTAGTAATACACTCTTCAATACACTATAGAGTGTTATTATTGAAGTAATTGTATACTTCCTTCCACCATGTATGTGCAACTGTGATTTGATTCGTTTTCTTATTTTTTCTACTTTTTATGAGTATTAATTTTTCACCTTACAGTTCTCAATCATATGATTAAAGATCAGAACAACTGAAGCTACATCTCAATTAACCTTCTGTACGAACATTACATTTTGTTATTATGTAAATACATAACTATGTAAAGCTTGGTTCAATGCCATCTTCTGGTATATACTTGTAATCCAACTTCTTATTGACATCACGTTTTAAAATTTACTCATTTTAGAGCATACGTGGATGCTATTTAAAAATTACGTAAAAAGTATTATAATTTACAATAATTAACAATTTAAAATACTTTAAAATCATATCAAAATTTAATTGACTATTTAAATTTTATCTATGTCACATAAAGTGAGACAAAAAAATAATAGATAACACGGGCCCTTGTGTGTAGTCTAATATAGTAGAAAGAGATATGTTTTTGCTATTACAAGAACAATTGCAACTTGTACAAAATTTATTTGTATACATCGGACTAAATGTCTATTTGGACGGACTTATAATTTATGATTTAAGTATAAAAGTTCATTTGGATTGATCTATTTTAAGTGTTTTTAAGGCATATAACTTTTAATCACTTTTATAATGTTTGGATTTTGTTGTTTTTAATTAAGCAATTGGCTTAAAGTCAAAATAATAAAAATAAGTCAAAAGTCAATTCAAACAGATTCGAAGTTATAAGTTAGAATTCTTAACTTATGATTTTTGACTTGTTTTTGTTATTTTGCTTTAAAAACAAATGTTTAAAAACAATTGTATTGTATATTATCCTGTTATTCAAACATTACAAAAATACTTAAAAATTATTTGACTTTAAAACATCTAAAATAAGTCAATCCAAATAGGCTCTATCATTGGTACATGTAGATACAATAATTTCAAAGGTCAAATACATACACCCCCTCTAATGGAAACATCAGTTCCATTGCCTTTTTTCCACTTTATTTATTCTTTGCAACATATATCTTAAAAGAATCAAAGAAAATTTGAATGGTAAGGAAATATTATAAATTATTGTCCTTTAAAATAATATCTTTTTCCTTCTTGATTGTAACTTTACAACACCTATATAAAGGGACTTATCTATTAGTCTCTATGCACCAAACACAACTAACATTTCTTCTTCCTCTATAGTTTAATTTGTAGTTTTAATTTGACCTAAAATATGGCACCAAGGAAAGATATTACTAAGATAGGTAAAGAAGGGTTTGCTCTTCTTGAAGAAATGTATGGAAAGAAGAAGTCTCCTATTGTTCAGCTGAAAACACCTTCTAATCAAGGAAGAGTTATCAATAATCATGAGGCTGGGAAGTTTTATGGAGGGATTAGTTTTTCTGATTATTCCAAGAGAAAATCAACAACTTTGGCTTATTAATAATTAAGCTTATCAAAGGTTGGCTTTTGTAGTTATGTTTATGTATATGATGAAGCTACTTGTAAGTGTGTTATATATGGTCCTAAATAGTTGAGCATGTAAGTGATAATGTTTTATATTTCACTTAATTATATATATCATCATGCTCTCTTGTGGTATTAAGTCATGAACCAACTTGACTCTAATAATAATGTTCCTTTTCTCCCTATTCTTTTACTTGTGGCTGTCTCTAATTTTCAAATTTTGGCTTTCCTTTACTTTTTTCAATCGGTAAATTCATCTTAGAAATAAGTTGCTTCGTTGTAGCTATTTTTAACCTGTATCGACTTGAGCTGACAAATATAGATTTTGAGGAATTAGAAATCGACTAAAACACTCAAAAATGCACTGTCCCACTTAAATTATTGGGTATTCCCAAAATAAAATAATTTAGTTTTATGTTGAAGCTTTGTGCCATTCGATAATGCATAAAGGAACTTGATCATAAAGTGAATATAACAGAACTAGAGTTATCATTTATTTATTATTATATATAGAAGACAAGCGGTAGGCTAATAAACATGGATTTCAATCAAATATAAAAGAGAAAATGGTCTAAAAACCCCCCAACCTATACCCGAAATTCCAACTACACACTCCAACTTTATGGGTGTCCTATTACCCACCTGAACTTTATATTTCTCTATTTTATACACACCTAAGTGCTGACCTCAACACATAAACCAAATAATTAGGCCTGCGTGACGCGCTGGGTCCCCCGCCTCTTCAATTCCCATTTCTTGTTTTTTCCCCATTCCCTCTTAAAACGTAAAAGAACAAAAAAAAATCCTCCTTTCTCATTTTCAATCCTTCTTCAGTAGCAATGCATTTCTGGTGATCATCAAACAAATTTGCTATTATCGAACAATTTTGTTGTGTATTGTCAACTTCATTTCGTAGTTTATCAATTGATTTAGTAAAAAGGTTAGTTCTTTATCCCTTATTTCGAGTTTTTGATTTATCCCCTAGGGTTTATGTTGATTCGTGAAATTAAGAGCAACATTGTGTGAAATCTTATGTATGGCTTACGATTATAGTGTTAGGTGTTCATTTACACCATATTATACCACATTTTTCATGAAATTAGGTTTTTCCCTTTCTCGTCTAAGTTGCGTAATTTTGTATTATGTTTGTCTTAATATTATGTTCATGTAGTGTTGTATTTATGTTCTTCTTAGTATTATGTTCATAGAGAAGCTGCTAGTTAGCTACTGTGTTGTATTTATGTTCATAGAGAAGCTAAGTACTGTGGTGTATTCTGTTCGTTTGCTAATGTGTTGTATTCTGTTCGTTTTTAAGTACTATTCTATTTTTTGGATTGCCATCAAGTTAGAGTATGTCTATAATTACTATTCTGTTTTTTTTATTGCCTTTAGGTAAGAGATGAATGGGTTTACTTTGATTACTCTAAGGTGGTACCATGGTGGGGTGTTAGATTTAAGTAGTGGGGAATCAATATATAATGGTGGAAAAGTTACAAAATTTTTGAATGTTGATGTAGATAAAATGTCATATTTTGAGTTGAAAGACTATATTAGAGAATTGGGATATAGTACAACTTGCACCTTTAGTATTAAAGCACCTAACAGTGGCATTTTGGTAGATGTTGAAAATGATAAGCATATTTTAGACATGATGTGTTCCTTGGAAGATGGGGATGACGTGGAGGTATTTGTTAGGCATTTGGTTGATGAGGCAATTGTGGGGCCCATGTTAATAGAAAATGGTAGTCATGTGGATATGGGAGAATCTGGTTCAACTTTTAATACAAGGCCTAGTGAGAGTGAAAACTTTAACTTTGGGGTAGGTGAAGACCATATAAACAGTGAGGACCCTGTTGCTACTTTTTCAACCTCACCTCCTTTCAATACTGCTACTGCAGATGGTGCTACTGATGATGATATAGATGTTGGTCCTGCTGGACCTGATTTCTTAGAAGAAGAAGTAGAGGGTTCTGATTATTCAACTGAGGATAGTGTTAAGTCTGAAGCTGAATTAGTTGGAGATGATGATGATGATGAAGAGTATGGTAGTGATGTACATGAGGAGGATAGGGAGTTGAGGGCTGAAAATAGAAGTTTTCAAAGGAGGAAAAGAAGGGAAAGAGTAGCAGCTGACAATAAAGAGGTACCAGTAGGTGAAGCTGGACCAGATCTAGGTTTTGATGAAACTGAAACAGGTAAAGTAAGTCATGAAGGAAGGCTAGGAGGTGATGAGCCTTACTTTGCAAGTTCTGATAAGGATAGTTTTGAGTTAGATGAAGATGAGTGTTGTAATGATGATGAACATGAATCTGGTAGATCAAGAAGGGTAAAGTTGTCAAGAAAGAAGAGTTCAAAAACTCAAAAAATCATTCATGATCCTACTGCAAAGAAGGTTGTGTGGCAATTGGGCATGGTGTTTAAAGATGTGAAAGAATTTAGACAAGCAGTAACTAAATATGCAGTTAGAAGGAGGGTTCAGGTGGAGAAGTGGGTGAATGAACCAAAGAAAGTTAGAGTTGGATGCAAAGATGGTTGTCCATGGCTTTTGTTTGGATGTCTTGACAAGACAACAAATAATTTCATGATAAAACTTATAATCCAAAGCATACTTGCAACAAGACAACTAGAAATTACTTGTGCAATGCAAAGTTTTTATCTGAAGCCTTCAGAGAAAGAATAACTGAGCAACCAAACATAAGAGTCTTCAAGTTGTAGGAGATGATTAGGAAAAAGTTAAACTTCATGTTGGCAAGACTACTGTGAGAAGAGCAAGAGCTAAAGTATTGAAAGATATAATGGGTGATCATATTGTGGAATTTTGGAAGAATACTTGACTACAAGGATGAATTGTTGAGGACCAATCCAGGGACCAGTTGTGTTGTAAAAGTTGGTGAACCTGATGCAGAAGGCAAATCAATATTTCAGAGTTTTTACATCTGTTTTGATGCTTTAAAGAAGGCATGGATACATTATAGGAAGAGCATAGGCTTAGATGGTTGTTTCCTTAAAGGTGTTTGTAAAGGCCAACTGGTAGTTGTTGTGGCCAAGATGGTAACAATCAGATGTTGCCACTTGCTTGGGCAGTAGTTGAAAAAGAGAACAAACACACATGGACCATGTTTGTCAAGTGCATAAGGGATGATCTGGGACTTGGAGATAGTGAAGGTCTCACCTTGATTACAGATATGCAAAAGGTATGTGAAGTTATTTTGTAATTTTCAATTTATATATGTAATTATGACCTAATCATCATCTATTGCAGGGAATGTCTGTAGCAATTACAAATGTATTACCTAAGTGTGAACATAGAATGTGTGCTAGGCACATATTAGCTAACTGGGCTAAGGATTGAAGGGGCCTTCTTGTGACTCTGTAGACAACAATATGTCTGAGTGTTTTAATGCATGGATCTTGGCTGCTAGACACAAGACCATCGTTACTATGCTTGAAGAAATAAGAGTGAAGATGATGACAAGAATAGCCAAATTAAAGGAGTTCCCAATTACTTGGAAGTGTAATTTCTCTCCAATGGCTCTAAAGGTTTTAGAGGAGAACATTAGTAGGTCTATGGACTGTACCATTGAGTTTAATGGAGCTGCTGAATTTGAAATGAAAGAGGCTTTGTCAACACAAAGTGGATATTGTTAGGAGAACTTATAGTTGTAGGTTGTGGCAGTTAAGGGGCATACCATATGCATATGTTGTGGTTGTATTATACTTTAAAAAGTTTTCTCTTTATGACTATATAGACAGCTGCTACAGTAAGGAAACTTACTTGAGGATTTATGCCAATGTTATTGAATCACTCACAAACATGGAGATGTGGCCAGTTTCTACAAACCCCACTATTGAGCTACCATAAATCACAAACATGTCTGGTAGGCCACCTAAGGCTAGAAGGAAAGAAGTTGGAGAAACTAAGAAATTTGGGAAGCTTCCTAGGACTGGACTTGCAATGACATGCATTATATGCCATATCAGAGGCCATAACAAGAAATGGTGTCCTCAAAGAGAAGGTGTTGAATCATCAACAAGACAAAGTGCATCATCACCTACTACATCAGTAAGGGCAGAACCAACAGGTTCACGCAGGGGAAGAGGTAAACCAAAGGTAATATTTGAAATTGTTTTACTCTTTCTTAATTTATGACTTACTTTTTCTCTTATATGTATAGAAAACTCCATTAGCACCATCAGAAGGTGAGCCTCCACTAAAAATGGGAAGAGGAAGACAAAAAAAACATCATCAGTAGCACCTAGTGCACCTCTCCTACCTACTGCACCTACTGATTTTCCTGCATCCTCTTCTGCTCCTCCTACTTATCATGCATCATCTTCAATAGTTAGTACTACTAAAAGAGAAAGAGGTAGGGGCAGGGGAAACACATCTCTAGAGAAAAGACTAAGAGTCATGGGAATGGGTGTGTTCCAAGCTGCAAATGGCTTCAAAGTCATGAATGTGAGTCTTTGATATATGTTAACAACTTAAATATTGAATTATAATCCTAATTTTGTTTAATTAAACAACTTAAATATTGATATAATCCTAATTTTACTATAGCCTGACATGCCAAGTAGTAAGATCTACTCTACTGGACAAGACAAAAATGACAAGATCATCTGATGTAACTGGTGACATTGGTTATACACCAAGTAATACAACTAAGCTGAAATGAAATGGTAAAGCAACAATCTCAACAAGCAAGCTTCATGAGCTTAGAGAGAAGCAAAGAAAGAAGACAATGTGAAGTAGTTCAAGTCAAAATTACACTTCTTCAAAGTCAAAGATGCCATGGAAATTGTAGTGATGTTGATGTATTTAATCACTTTTAAGTTAGTCCATACATGTTGCATTAATGGCATGCTATTTTGAATTTTGTTTGTTGGTAAATTTTGCCTTATGTGAGGGCTTTTGAATATGACATTATTTAGGTAAATTCTGCCTTATGTGAGGCCTTGTAAATATGACTTTATTTTGGTAAATTTTGCCTTATGTGAGGCCTTATGAATGAATGATGATGTTGTGTTTTAAAATGGTTGTTGTGTTGTCTATCGAATTGTATTGGCTATTCAGGTGTGCTTACATATGTTGTTATGTGTTTTACAAATGGTGTTGCGTTGTCTATGTTGAAGTATGAATGGATGACTAGGTTGTTAGTTGTTGATGAAGTGTTGCATATTAATAGAAGCTTCAATTGACATCATAGATACAAAATGACACACATACATTGACAATTTTAATTAAACATAACAACAATACAAATCAAAGATAAATCCAAAAATGCAGCACTTGAATTACTGGTTGCTGATGAACATAGCAACAACACAAATCAAAATACACAAAAGTATCTTCCAATTGAACCTACACCATTTCAACCTTCTATTGAGTCTCCTCTCCAATAACAAATTAGAGTTCCTCAAGTTCTCAATATGAACCTGTCTAATACATAATTTTTGCTCCAACTCATTGATTTTGTTCACCAATCTTGGAAGGATAAAACTTGATCTTGGATCCACTTCTTCTTTGTCCCTCCATCGAAAAATTTGCAATTTTTAGATTGAAAATGATCCAAAATAGTACATTAGCATCGTTCAAAATAAAGTGTAGCAAGAATACAAGAAAAAACACATACACCATAGCATGAGCAAGACCAAAATCTTCTTTCCGAATTTAATTTTGACCAAGAAGTTTGCAAATTCAGCAAAATTCCGTGTTTGCATCTCACTACAGCGTTGAGCATTGGGTCTGATTCATCCATTCAAAGCTTATTCAAGTTTTCATTTGACATTTTTGATGAATTTTGAGAAAATTCAAAATTCAAATTAGAGACCTAAATAAGAAATTAGAGCAGATTACAAACCCTAAATTCAAGATTTGAAGTAGAAATGAACATTAACAACTAAACCCTACTTAATTTTGAGAGGAAATTGTGATTTTTTAATAAAAGGAACAAGGGTTAATGGTGGGGAAGAAGAAATAATGGTTTATTTAAAGGTGGGGAAGATGACTGTTGGATCGGAGAAGGAGGAATTTTTCGTCAAAATTAACCCTCTAACGCGCCTAGAGGAGGTGAGAACACCTCCCATGACAAGTCAGCACTTAGGTGTGTATAAAATAGAGAAATATAAAGTTCAGGTGGGTAATAGGACACCCGTAAAGTTGGAGTGTGTAGTTGAGATTTCGGGTATTGGTTGGGGGGGTTTTAGACCATTTTCTCAATATAAAATGATGAAGTAATTCCTCAGTTCATTTTTAGTTATCACTTTTCACCTTTAGGAAAGTCAATTTGACTACATTTCAAAGATAAATTAAATTATTAATTCAATACTTCAAATTTGGATACCTGAAACTCTATGAAAATATTATAACTTTATAAGTTGTAATCATTCTCATATTAATTAATATGATTAAAAATTATAAATGTCTAAATATTAGTCAAACTTGATACAGTTTAACTCTCTGGGAGGGAATGTTAGGATTATTGGTAAAATGCCAACGGACTACTCACGCAGATTGAACCATTGGACAAAAGTATAGGCCCTTGCCAATGAACAACTAGATCAAAGTTTAGACGGTTGCTAATCAAAAAGTCCAGCTCACAAATAGATATTTTTTGAAGATCGCATATCAAAAGGAATTATTTCTATAAATACAAATTAAAGTGAACACTTTGTTTAAAAATGAGCAAGTTGTTCTTAATTATCACCGTTAACCCTGTCTACTTCCAATGCACAATGCCCAATTCAAAATATTTTAAGTGGCTTGCTCATAAATGGGTGAACTACAATTTTTTTAATTAGTTTGTCACATGAAAAAATATTTTAAAAAAATTATAAGTAAATAATCACGTCTATTTGATATAAAACCGTAAATTTCTTAAATAATAAATATATGTTCTTATTCACTTCATTTTCTCATTCATCTTTACTGTATTTCACTATCTTAATAAAGAAATTGGTTTTATGTTGATTTGATTCTCACTACTAAAAATACATCCAAAAATCAATAAAAAAAACAGACCGAATTCAGTCTTAAACCCACACACACCTACGGTTTAGAGTTCTTCGTCGTATGTAATAAAATGATAAATTTCATAATTAAAAAATAATGAATCGGACGGTATAATTATAAAAAAAATATGGATAGATTTTATAATTATAAAAATAATTGCATGTCCAAACGCTGATTTCATCTTATGATTGCATATCACTATGTAAACAAATAAAAATGAAAAGAGGGGTAATTATACAAAAGACTTGTTTCCTTGTCACTCTTGCTATTTTAATATATGTTTCTTACTTTTAATTTATTTTTTTTAAAATCGAGCTCTCATTTTTAAATTTTTCTTTCTTGGTGTTTCAAATCCATACCCTCCTTAATAGAAATAGATAATGTTTATTATCTGAACAATTCTTTCTTGTCTTTTCTGTTTTAATTCATTTACAAGGAGAACGTTATTTTTTTTTGGAAAAATTACTAGAATACACACACTTAGTTAACATATTTTCAATATTTCTCTATTATTTTAAAAAAAATACTAAAATCCCTATTATTCCCACAAAACTAAACCACCGGATACATTATTTTTGAAGAAGTCTAAACCTTACTTTCCCACCCTAAATTTACTCCAATAATTTCTCCTCAGATTTTCCCACAACCCACGATTCCCTCTCCAAAATTTTCTCCCCCATTATTCTCAACAGATTCATTATTCCAATTTTGAATTTCAAACTAATTAATTCTCTCTCCATTCAACAAATTTCAGAGTTTGAAATAGGTAGTCTCTTCATCTTCAACTTTTTTTTTCGTTTTTTTGTATTTTCTTATACTTTATGGATCATCCGTCTTTTAGTATTGGGATTACCCAAATAGTCATAGCCAACACTAATCGAATCTCTGATTATGAAGATACTTTCGATATAATAAAATTTGTATGTATCACAACACCTGATACTATAATTTTATACTTGATACAAATCAGTTAATTTTCAATATATTTAGTACCTTTTAACATTATGTCTCTTATAAATTTGGTACAAATGACTACACTTGATACTATATTATAAGCTGATACAAATTTGTCAAAAAATATATTATGTATATGATACACAATTATTATTTATCATGCTTTCAAAATCACAAATTGATGTGTATAAGCTGATACAAATTTGCCAAAAAATATATTATGTATATGATACACAATTATTATTTATCATGCTTTCAAAATCACAAATTGATGTGTATAAGCTGATACAAATTTGCCAAAAAATATATTATGTATATGATACACAATTATTATTTATCATGCTTTCAAAATCACAAATTGATGTGTATAAGCTGATACAAATTTGCCAAAAAATATATTATGTATATGATACGCAATTATTATTTATCATGCTTTCAAAATCACAAATTGATGTGTATAAGCTGACACAAATTTGCCAAAAAATATAGTATGTATATGATACACAACTATTATTTATCATGCTTTCAAAATCACAAATTGACGTGTCTCAAAAACCTGATACTTTATATTTACAATTGTTACAATCCTCTAAATTTGTAATATATTTAGTACCTTTTAACATTACGGCTTTTATCCTATACACATCACAACTCTTATCCGGTACATATCACAACACTTGATACTACATTAGCCGATACAAAAAATTTCAAAGAATTAAGTATCAAATTCATTATGTTAAACAAATCAATGCAATGTAATAGTATTTTCAGTACTTATTAGCAGTTACATAAACATTAATTACTTAACCAATATAACGTATATTTTAAAAATAATTTTGTATCAAACACAAAACAATACACAATATGTATACCAGATTCACTTTATCAAAAATCAACAATAAAAAAATATAGGCAGAACTGAAAAACGTAACATTTTAATTTATTGAATCAGAAATTAGTAAGATAAAGTACTTTTTAATGTAAACATTTGTAACAGTGGAAAGAAATGTTATAATTTGAAAATTATTAGATCTGAAAAAACAAAGTACTCCAAAAAAGTATTAATCAAGATTCCATCGGGAAGAAAGTACAAGTTCTTCGATTATGGTCTTCTTGTCCACATCACCCATTAACAGTTCATGTTTGATGTTAGTTTTTCATCTGGATTTTTCTTCCTTTTTACTTGATCTACTGGACATTCTTTTGTATCTTGTTGGCAAGACAACTTCTTCCAAAACACAATCCGAAACTAACCAATCACTTTTGTCCGACATTGATTCCATTGGAATTGCATAAGACACTATTACATAGCTGCAATTATACCAAATATAAAATAATAAATGCTCTTGACACCAAAGGTTCAAGAAGCCAAAACAACATCCCAAACCAAAAGAAAATAAAAAGAAAAAACAGCCATAAAAACGAACAAAATAGAACTTGAGCTGCTATGTCCGAAGACCATCAATCTGCAAGGATTTTGCATCTTCCGGCCGTAGAGAGGGTGGCTCGCCGGAATGAACCAACAATTTCTCTCCACTCCAGATCTTTTTTGGATCAAGCTTCTGCAGTTTTTTGGAAGAACAGGGAGACACAATTTGACAACTTGAAATTTTAATTTTCTAGTTATGTTACCTT